ATTGATCACAAATGAGTTGCAAAATTTAGGGATGAAAATTTCCACCTAAAAAAAAAATAAAAAAAAGAAACATTAACAAAATTACATTTTAAAATTGCCAAGAAACGATGAAAAGCTTTAGAACAAAGCGGTATATACCTACATATCTTACAGAGTAAAGAAATTATTGCTTTAAAACACGGAATTTACTTATTTACTTAAAAATCGGCAGGGATTATCCGCTCAACTCCGCTAAGAAACCGCGGCGAAAGCATTTTAATCGAATTGAATATCGTTCCGCGAATCTTTACCTCGGAGAAGGGAGAAACGCGAATTAACGTGGAAAGTTGGAACGATGGTGAAAACGGTCGAAAAATACGCGAGCGTATTCGGATGTTGGAACGCGACGTGGAATTCACAATTGATTTCACCCCGACGCGAGCCAATAGTTCGAAAGAATCCCGTTTAATCCGGCAAACTAAACAGCGAAAGTTCTCGTCCCGTTCCGCGGAAGAATACTTATGCAGTTCGATCGATTTTAAAAGGAACACTCGGCGAACTGAGAAGTTCCGCGAGTCGATGGACCCCGTTGCCACTTGTTGAATGTTTATAAAGCGCAATGTAAGTCCAAAGTGGCCACCCTGCTATTTTCCGTAACACGTGTCGCCTTCGAGAAGAAACGGCTGATATATGCAAATTTCTATTCTTCTTCGTTTTTTTTTCTCTCTCCGTGCATACGATACGTATACGCATCTACGTATGTAAGTACACTCTCGCTTAAAAGTTTCGAGTCGTTACTCGAAGAATAAAACATGCTTTTCTGAGCGAAACCCAAAGTAAGGTGGCTCGTGAGACACTTTACTGTTTAAAGATTGAACGAACATTTTGTATTTTTGTTTCACTATATATGATAAAGTATGGAAAATGAAGATTATTTTTATTCGTTGCTTTCAATTTTTCAAAAGAATTTTCATTTCTTTAAGTATTACAACAATTTTATTCTTTTATTATTATTTAGAATTTAATATTTTTCTAATATTATTTTTTAAATATTTTGCGAATATTATTTCTCAAACATTATTTTTTAAATATTTCGTGAATATTATTTCTCAAATATTTCCTGAATATTATCTTTCAAATATTCGTTTAAATATAGAAAACTGTGGGTAGGTAAATACTATCGAGAGTGATAGTGCACTTCTTTCGACTGCAATTTCAATTTTACTCGAATGAAAAGAAAGATATACATCATTTTCTTCCTATTCAAACTATAGAAAGAAAATTACCAATGAGAAGAGAGAAAAAGAATGCTAGGCATCGATATGCCAGAGAATTTGCATGATATCTTGGTCCCTCATCTTCGATTTCGATTTTTGCATGCGACAAAACGAGCTGGGTAATCTGGAACCGGGAAACCGGACGTTTCTAATCCGGATCACGCGTGTCCAGAATGAGATCGGACCTCGGAATGGGATTCGAAACGACGGCCAGAGCGAAATGAACCTCGCGTCGACGTTTTTCCATTCGAATTTCGGCGCAAGCTTTGCCTTTTCCGTCCCACCCTCTCTTTCTCTTTCACTCTAACCGCTACTTTTTTTTCCCCTCTACGGTGAAAAACGGTCCGTGCGGCTGGAAAATGCGAGAACTCGCGTTCCGAGGCACGTATCGGTATTTATTTTCCAGGAGACGTAAATATTCCGCCCTTTTCTCTCTCTCTCTCTCTCTCTCTCTTTGCAATTCGATTCGGCCACAAGTGTTTTGTACAGTACTGCAGCAGTTTGTAAAACAAAAAAAAAAAGAAGAAAAAAAGTAGCACGTTTCCAGTGTTTATAATTCAAAGGGCGACAAAATAAAGTATTTCTCCTACGGAGACTGTAAAAATGATTTCACGTTAATAATTATCTACCGATACGTAGCTTGAAATAATTGGAAATTTTTATATTGTTAATTATTTCGAAATTATCGATCCAATTTTTTAAACGTTTCATATCCATTGACGCGATTTTATTTTAATTTTGTGTCGGAGGTAATTTGGAGAAAAATATTACAATTGTTTTATGGTAAATTTTCTAGGAAATTGGAATATCAGTTTGATGAAAATTGGAATGAAATGTCGAATTTTGTTAAATTTTAACCCTTTCGCGTCTATTGACGAAATATTTCGCCAACTAATTTTCATTTTAATTTTGTATCGAAGGTAATTTAGAGAAAACCTATTACAATCGTTTCATGGTAAATTTATTAAGAAACTGAAATATGAATTAGATGAAAATTGGAATGAAGTGTAGGTGTATAATGTGAAATTTTACCACTTTCGAATCATTAGACGAGATATCTCGCGAACTGGTTTTTACGAGATAACTCGTCTGCGGATGTAGTATAATTTATGCAAATATCGTTAAAAATAATAACTACGATATCGAGAAGTGTGTTAATTAAAAACGGAAAGATTTCCATCGTGAATTAATTTCGAAGAAGACATACATACGTAATGTTTAATTTATTGGAAGTATCAAAGAAGCCTGGTTAGAAGATGGGAACCGTACAGTAATAATAGATATAAATATAAACTTTCCAGTTATGTGGATTCATAAATCAATCTCCTTAAAATACATCTTAAATTGTGCTTCCTTGATACACTAGGTACAAAGTTGGTTTTAATCCCGATAATTGGTACATTTCCCAGAATACGTAAAATAAATCTCTAATTACGAAGTTGTTGGTAGAAACTGGTTACTACTTATAAGATAATTAAATATTGCAACATCGTTAAGAATGATCGAACTAATTAAAATTCTGCAAACATAACGATAATTTTTTTAAATAATCCGTATAATCCTAATTTTATATAAATAAACTGGTTAACGGAATATTTAAAATTAGACAGAATTAATTACACGAATTACATTTGGATTTCGACGATATTTCATATAATTCCAAATTCTAACGTGCCACCCTATATAAAAACGTTTTTTGAAAAACTAACGACAGCTCCATTAAAGAATAAAAGAACCCTGGGATTATTTCCAGAATTTAGTCAAAGAAAGTATGAATACGTTGAAAAATAAAAAAAATCCCTGCTCCTATTCATTAAGAGAAGAAATAATGACACGTTGGTATTCAGAACGGAACCAAAAAACAATGGAATTCAGGCTGTATTGTGATTCCCTCGACACAAATACACCCTGGATAAATATGTGTTTTGGATTCCCTTCCTTATTGCGTGGCCTCGTCACTTTTCATGTATCGCCCGTTCCAATGTAAACACTGGTACCACCGGTCACTTTGTAAAAAAGGCACAATAACCGTGACCATATGCCGTATCCTTAGAGAACTGCTTGTGTTTACATAAAGAAAATATATCATTCCTATTCTGAGGTTTTTTTGTATTTCTTCGCAGCAGTAAAAAAACATCGAAAACAAATCGAACGTTCCTTCTGTACCGTGTAATAATATTCGAATATTTAATAATTTTCTTTATTTTGTGCTATTTCACGTTTTCGTATCAAATACGAAGTGATTTATAAAAATTTGTAATTATATACGTGTATTAAAACGAAGTTTCATGAATGCTGATTTGACTAACAATATGGCGTATAGAAATATCCAAAGTCCACATTCCGAGTTCCATCGTTCTATAATGCAACGAAGATTTAGTATAAACCCTACATCTAACGAATGAAATAATGTGTAATTCACCTTATTTTAAATTATTTATTCCCGAATTTATGAATAATATATAAAATGTTTATTTAACATATGGAATAAAGTAATATAAGGAAAATTTTATTCCTCGTTATAACACGTATCCGTGTGACTACTACGATCGTTTCACTCTAAAAAGCTCCGGTGACACTGTGAAAACTCTGAATGCAAGCTTTTCATGAAAAATGGCACAAAAAGCTTACTCACCTCTTACTATGGCAGCGAAAAGTAACACGACGAACAGTAGGCACAGTTTCCCGCAGCTTCGGCGTCCCATCGTGTCCTTAAAGAGGAGAACACACCACGGCACCACAGTCAATTACGGTCGCGCGAAACGCCAGTTGAGAATCTGTCCGCAGAGCACATCGTTCACTGATCGAAATTAGTCCCGACCGTATCGTAGCACGAACCAAAACAAAGACGGAGTCAACTGCGTTGCATGCCCGCACTTTTTCTTCTCACCGAGTTCAGAATTCACGGAAACTGACGAGAAAAAAAAAACCACCGCGTTTCACAGAACCGACTAACGTTACGGTCGACTCGTGTTGTTTATATACACGATACTCTGGACATCGGAATGTCACGGACAACCGAGTCGTAGACGCACAAAATACGTATAACACGACTGAAATATTCTGTTTAACAATCTCAAATGGACGACGACACCTCTTAACGAATCTAATCTATCCGCTTGAAAAAGCTGAATAAATCGCTCGAATACGCGGAACGTTCCGGTTCGCGTTTCCGCGGGAATAACTGAACGGGGGGAACGTAATTTGGCACCTTTCAAGACCAATCAACGCCAACGAGTCTTCCTTATTTTCTTCACACTCGACTTTTACACCACTATTAGTCTCGCAGCACGATAATTCTCAAATAACCGAGAAAAAAACAGTGAGGGAGATTCAACGGAACCTTTACACACGTGTCTTCGTTAACGACCAAGAACCTCCTCGACCACGACTCAATTTTCCTCGAACCGTTTGACAGCAAATTTAATCGAACGCGAATAACAGAGTACGTAATAATGTTCAATTATGTCACATTAGGTATGGAAAATTTATCGTTTTCGACCACTTATGACAGCACGCGACCGAGACACACCAAAGGAACACCGTAAAACACCCTCACTCTTGGATGTACCGCGCGACACTGGCTGCCCTGCTCGTCGCAGTCGACACATTCGAGAAACCAGGTGGCGCTGCTGTGTCGGCGCTGGTTTGATAAACCAGAAGACGCCGGCATTCGGCTCTGCAACCCGGTTGCAACAAGTTGCAGCGCGTGGCTCCCGAGCTGCACGCTCCGGGAACATGCATTCATTGAATGCAGTCCGCACGTACGCGGCCAGCATAACGAAATGCAATCGACTGCGAGCCACCTCTGTCGAACGCGGCTATAATAAAATTAAAACTGCCGTCTCGCGACCCCTATGCTCCTAGGGTGGTACAGGTACTTTTAGTTGCGGAACACGACTCGAGAAAAATCTTTCGTCATGTATAACATCGTTTTTCCGATCGAACGAAAGTCGTTTGTAGGAATATTGGAAAGCTTGGCTTTTTGGTGATTTTATTTCAATCGAAGGATCAATTTTGGTGATATTGGTGATAAAAGGATTAAAGGGTGAAAATGATACAGTAGTTCTTAATGTAAGGGATTAAATTTTCGTTCAAATTTTTCGATAATGGTCATTGTATTGGAAAGGTGATTTTATTGAAAAGTAACGAAATTTTTATTGCTCTAATTTTCTTGAAAATAACGTTAGAAGGTTTAAAGCTGTGCTTCGTGAAATTGCAGATAATAATTAAAGAAATGATTTCCATTATGATAGATTACATTTATTACGATCGTACATAGTAAAAAAAGATACTGATATTAAAAGATAAATGGAAACCTGTAGCTTCTTGTTACCTCGGTTTAGGACTCTCGGTGTTCGTAGTTAACGAGCCATCTGAGCTATAATAAACTTTCTGCGCGAGTTTCGATTAATTTGCAATTAGTTTGTGCATATTGTTATTAGTGCAATATTTTAGTAATTATAATTACGTACTCTGATGGGATGACGTTCTTTACGATGGCCAGAAAACGTCGCTGAAACTGATTTGGTGATTTTTCTCTTTCTGTAGAGAGATAAAAAATACAGTCGATCAACTTAATCTCCATTCAAAAATGTTTTAGTCAAAATATTCCGTAGTTGATTTTATGCTAAACAATTAAATTGTATACATTTTTTAACATAAGAAGAATAAATATTTTGACATTGAATACACAACTGAACTTTTTAAAGTACCAAATTGATAAAATAAGGTTTCTTTTCTTCCTAGGAAGATCATTTATAAAATATAAACACTCACTGATAACTTTTGCTACTACTGCTAACGTCAACCGTGTCTTTGCTAGTGTAACTGATAGCGGCTAAACAACGTTCCTCGTCAATACGATCTTCACAATTTCCACGACATTTACCAAACCTGTTCCTCCAATAATCCTTAAACCTCTCCAGTAACCCCTTCCGAGTTTCTCGCTGCGGACACATATCAGTCTGACAATACTCTTTATTCTCGTACAGAACAGCAACCCTAAATTAGACGAAGAAAAACATCATCCTCGTTACATGTGAACAAAATTATCATCGAATGAATTAGTACACTGAAGGGGTGAAAGTAAAGGGTTAAACTTCTATCAAAACTCTTAATTAACCTTTTCATAACAGAATTAGATTTTTAAAGAAATTTCTTATTTATCAACCAATCGTTGGATACGTAATGGATACTAAATCGAGACCAATCTTTGTTCGAGTGTACTCAAGTGGGAAATTTGCATCCCACTGGTTGTAAAAAGGTTAAAGTAACATTGCAGAACTTCTCTGTGCACCAAGATCTACTAGAACATACGGAGGATCCTGTGGTTCACACGGGGCACACTCGTCCGAGTGTTTCGTGAGGAATCTATAGCAAACCAAGCTCAGGCCCACCAGCAACCATACTAGTAACGCGCTCACCACGGCAATCGATATTAATTCTGTCGTTCCCAGCGTAATCCCCGTGTCTTCGTCTGAATTCAGAAATGAACGGAGCTAAGATTAGACAGCAGAAGTCATGGAAAATTCGTTTTAACACGTTCACCGTCACAGACGCAGCATATGCGGCTCAGAATGTGTTACCCTGTGTGCCAGCGCCGACAGTTCGTCGACGGAGTGTCGCTCGGTCACAGATGACTACTAGGGATGTAAAGCTTCGAATAGTTGAACTATTCGAATAACTCGGATAATTCGAGTACGCGAAATATTCGGATTTTCGTAACAGCCCTAACGACTATCGCCGCGAATCGGTGGCACATGGCACATCCCTTTTCCGGGTGTCGGTGAACGTGTTAATCTTAATTTGAGGTATCGGAGCACCGCTTTCTCTCTTCACCTTTGTACAGAACAGGCACGCCTTCTTCTCCGGACCCGCCATTCGGTCGCGTACCTGTTTTGGGCATCATCTGATAGGTGCCGCTTTTTCTTCCCTTCGTGAGACCGGTTCCAGCGCCTGAGATGGAAAAACCACGGGTTTCAGGAAACGTCGCGCGTTGGAAAAGTTATGGATAAGGAAAAGAACGGGAGACGTACCGGCTTCCTCCAGCGAGGTGATCACCCTCAGCACGCCACCGAACGCCGGGTACCATTTCTCGTCGTCGAGGTGTCGTTGCACCTGGAATGGTAATGACACTGGTCTGATGACTGCTAATAGTATTCGAACAGTTGTGGAATGGTTTAAAGTTACTCGATGCCTCCTGAGGAAATTATAGGACGCTTAAAAAGAATGTTAACACCCTCTGCCTAACGCCACGTAACTTGGAAATTGTACACCCGTTTATCCATATTTTACAAACCTCCGTTTATTTGTTTATTACTGTACTACTGCATTATACAGAGTGTTTCGCTTATGATGAACATGTGAATTATTTCCTCTGGTGTTGAGAGTAAAAACAAAATGACCGAGTGAAGTTTGAGGATATGCATCTGGTGCATATGCATTTTGAAAATCATTCCCAGGTCATGGTTATTTTTTCCCTCATATACGTAAGTGTTAACATTTTTTTGAAGCATCCTGCGAAATGAAATAAAACTGCATAAGCATTGAATGTAACGGAATAATACGGGGTTGCGTGAAATTTGAGAAACATGAAATAGCACAATATTGCATTAAGTGGAAATGCAACGTTGTGCGGATTTTAACAATATTGACTGGTAAATAGTTCCATAGAATTCGAGTATTTTTAAATGGTACACAATTGTAGGAACTCTGTTGAATAGCGTGAAGCTGCATTTAAGTGATGTAAAGTATTACACAATATAAAATGTAATAGTAGTATGAAGTAGAAAATAAATAAATAAAAATATAATAGTATGAATTAGAAAATAGATTGTTAAAAATAGTTAAATATAGAACAATGCTGAACAGCATAAAATTGCATAGAATTGGAGGAATATTGAATAGTACAAAGTTGCATAACGCCATGGCACTTAGGGTACTTTCTTAAGAATGATCATAAAAAAGAAAAATAAGTTTCAATGATAAAATCGAATGATTTCTGCGAATAGAATACGTAAGAAAAATTGCCACTTTCGATCACAGCGACTCACAACGTACGGATTGCTCCAACCAATCGTAAAACTGCTGGTTGAAGGCATCCAGTTCCGTTTTGGCCTTTGACTTCGAGGTGATGCACTTTACACTGGCTATGTAATATTTAACCAACGCGAAAGCTGAGCGTTCGCTGCATAAAGGCTGCAAGTTATCCCTCTTGAACGGTAAAGCGAGGCTGGGGAAAAATTCTGTTTTAACGTTGCCCATGTTTTGCACGATAAACGAAAATGGTTCGTGTGATCTATACCTATTTGGTTCCACGTCGTCGTCCAGGAAAGGAAGAGGGATGATAATTGGTTCTTCGTTCCTTGCAGATTCGTCTTTGTATCCGTCGAATAATCGTCAGGATAAGAGGAAAAAATTTATGTTTCTTTTTAGGGTGAAAAAATTCATCTTATTTTTGGGATATACATACATATATGTATTCGTTACTTACCAGGATTCGTACTTTTCGTTTTGTGCTTTCCGGTAAGTCTCTTTTTCTTTTTGAACGTGAAATGTTCTATCTCACGTTTTCCGTAGTCAGAAGCTGAGAATCACGTGAAAATCATTTTACGCGAGGTTAAATAGATGAGAAAGGTTTATAAAATTCTAACATAACCTAAAGTTAACTTTATTGTCTTATTTGATCGTTCGAAATCTCCAAAGAATAATGGTAGTTTTTTTCTGTCAACGTAAAATTTTAGAGTTTTTAAGAATTGATATTCAGACAAATTATCGTTCGAAGAATAATTGTAATAATTACGAAATTTATTTACACTAAATAATACGAATGAAACATATTTCCCAAAACCCTTAGAACCTTTAAACATTCAAAAATTTCTACTCTGGAAACAAACTCCTGAATTGATAATTCTCAGTACCCACAGACATTCCACTCTCTCTTAACCTACGAAATTCATTCTAATTTATTACCAAATAAAACCGTCGTTACTCTCTTAATCGACTCCTCCTGTCTACAATAAAACTGAATGAATAAAAAGAAGAAGGAAAATATTCTACAGGACCTTAGTTTCAAAGAAATCGATGAAACTAACATTATTTCCTAAAATTATTTTGAAATTGCCGCTTGAAGGCTAACCTCGTAATAGAAAGTTTTTCATGTTAATCATTAGCTTAGCTGCAAATCCAATAAAATCATTTCCTTCTTCTTCTTCTTCCTCTCATTTATTCAATTCAACCACCCTTCCTCGAAGCTACGATTCCAACATCGCTGATCAGCGTAAAATTCTCGTGAATAATTTACTATCTAAAGGTAACGAGATGCTCTTACACGCAGGATAGGTAATAATGCCGTCGCACGCCACCGACGATCTCGGCGGCGTGATCACGATCGTCGAAATTTTCGCGTGTCTGATCTCCTTGGATCGGCTGAGCCAGCCTGCTCCGTTGCTTCGCAGAAAAAGCTTTAGTTGCTCGTATAGTTCGAACAGCTTCCTCGCGTTCCGATACTTTATGTTTCCCGCGTAATAGGAGTGTCTGGTGAGGGGCAGGATGTAAACCTGTAAGTAGCCGCCCATCGTGTCCGCCAGAGCTTTCAGCATCAGGTGCTTCGTTTTTCCTATCGACAGCTTGCGCACGCTCTCCAGACAAATGTGAAAGTAATCCATCAGCAGAGCGATGTACCGATCGTTCTCACAATTTAAAACTTTCACCTGGGGAATCAGAGTCAGGAGGAAGGGGAGAGTGGGCGAGCGTGTTTTTTTTTCGAGAAATCGATGATGGAACGGTTTCGAGTTTTTTTTTAAGTGGATGGGATGGTAGGTTGTAAGATAGTTCAGTGGCATTGAAGCACTGATTAATTCAGTTTTTGATTCTTTCTCGTGATCTCGTGTATATTTTTTACGACTTGTGAATGAAGTGATTTGTGAAAATTATATTGGAGATTTTGTAGTTGATGAAATCGATATTGGAAATGTGTAAAATATGTATACATGCAGATATATGTTTAATTATGAAGAAAATAAAGATATTAGTTTGAGGTATTGATGTGTTATTGAGTTAAGAATTGTGGAAAGTTGAAGTTAGAGTTAGAGTTAGAGAAAAAAATAGTTTTAAAACGTATTCAGTTGCGAAAGATAGAGAATAAAAGATATACAAGAGGAAGATCATAATATTAGAAAATTGTAAAATAAAATGAATTGAAGTAAAGAAAAAAAAATTATTGGAATTTCAATCATTGTTAATTTACCGAGCGCCTAACAGAGGTTAGGATATGTTTACCTTTGGTAATAGATCTTGAAACATGCGTCGACTATTTAAGATAATAAATTCCTCTGTGGTCCAGCAATGTTTAGCAGCATCACATTTTTCAAATAATACCGTGCCGATATTGTGTTCATGTTTGAAAGTTTTTACACCCATCGCCCTAATATCGCAATAGAAATCAAATGGAACATGCAGTTTCAAGGAAGTTCTTAACTTTAGATTAGTAATTAATAACATTTTTTTTTTTTCAAAATTATGTAATCTTTCTTTAAATAAAACAGGTATGATGTTGATAACATTTTTAATTGTGTACCTTTCTGTCTTAACGAGAGTAGTTATCACAAATACCCGAAAGAACCATATAAAGCATGATCTCATACTCTAATCGATGAATCCCGATCAGTACGATTTTCCCTTAAGAAATTCTGGAAAATTGATAGCGATTCCTTGAGTGTTCCCTAATCATTTCGCCCCGACTTTCTCTCGTTTGTTACGTGACTAATTTCATACTGATAGACCCTCATAAGTAAATAGTTTCATGTGTACAAACTTCTCATAGGTATGATAGCTTCGTCTTTGTCTTGAACGGAGAAGAGATTGAGTTACAGTTTCATTTCCTTTAATCTTTGTTTACAATTAACGTTCAACTTTACATGATGAAATAGTCGATGAAGTATTTTGTACAAAACGCTTCGTCCAGTTTTATAACGAAAGGTTAGAATTGTCCTAGGGAAAGGTTCAGTGGTCTTTACAATAATAGTATGTATTTATTTTACATAATTCGAATGCTACTTTTGAACAAAACAAGAGATACAACGTGAAATGGTCGTGTTAACGATGTCCGCATAATTCTTGTTAAAAATCCTTTGACTTTGTTCTTGTCGTTGAAATTGTCTTTATGGGTTCGGTCTGGTGTTACGGAAGAGTGTCTTGGAATGAAAAATTACGTATTTGGCGCTTTCATTTTGCATAGGAACCGCAAGTGCAACATCTTCACCTCGTCCTTGTTCAGCTTCACAACTCCTTCTTGATTATCTATCGAGAGTAATGTGCCCACCGCTTCTCTGTCTTCGCCGATAATCACTTTGACACGATCACCGCGTGATGGAACTACTGGTTCTAGTTCTTCGCAAACCAAATTCACCACTCTGTCTTCCACGGGAAGAAAAACTGCGCACATACCACCCTGTCGACAAAAGGCAGTAAATTAATCTATTGAAACTTGTACATACAAAAAATTTTTATCTAAATAAAAATGGTTATATCTATTTCAGCTGCAATGAAAAATACTTACAGATATTCCTCGAATAACACCCTGTTGACCAGCCAGTGCGGGATCTTGGTGAGAGTCACGAATTCTAACCTCAATATCTGTAGTATGCCATTCAGTTCCTCCAATGATTCCAGACCCTACGCTGGTGTCTAGACCAGCACCCGGTGTTTGTGGATTGTATGGACTACCAGCAACTCCTAAAAACAGACAAGAAATAATAATTTAAAAAACATTTAAAACAGGATAATAAAAGGAGTTGAACATAAAAAAGATTTACCAGGAGTCATAGGACTGTAACCCATAGGTGAAGGCGTAGCAAATGCTCCATGAGGACTAGTAGTATACCCAGTACCACTTGGGGAAGGAGTAGCGACGTATCCTGCAGGGCTAGGACTCGCAGTAGCGCTTCCTGCTGGACTAGGACTCGGCTGATACGAGCTGAAGCTCTGTTCTGAACCGTACATCGTGCCAGGTGTCTGTGGCGTAAACGGTCCACCAGTGGGAGGATAACCCGGTGCATAACCAGGAGATCCACCTTCTTCCATGCTGTATCCATCGAAATCATTCGTTCTCGCAGGAGTATTGGTAACTGCTGGATCCCAGGCACCTGATTGTCCTGGTGTACGTGAACCATCGTGAGATGGTGTCATCGAGCCATAATGAGGTGTACGAGAACCATCTGTGAACGTAGAATATGATGAATTATTGTGTTGAATTTTCTTGAATATTTTCATTAGCAATTTTGCATGTTTGAATTACTCACTTTCGTACATGGGTGTCTGAGAGCCATGCATAGGTGTTTTGGACCCATCTCTGGCATACATTGGTGTTTGACCACCCACGACATACGCTGGAGTCCTGATATAGCTGCTGAAACCACCTTCCTTTGTTTGTACTGCAACATTTGCGATGTGAGATCTGTCCACGGAGATAGTCTGACAAGTGGAGTGTAATTCTACGCGAGCAGTCGTCTCTGTAGCGTCTTTTACTATTCCAACGTTTCCTTTGTATGGTCCACCGGTTATTTTGATTGTGGTTCCTATTAATTCTCTGTCGCGTCTGGCTCCACCTCCACGACCTCGGCCTCTTCCACCTCCACCACGTACAAAGCCACCTCTGTAACAAAATAAAATATATAAATATTAAGGACAAAGTTAAAAATGTGAAAGAAAATACTGAGACAAAAAGTAAAATTAAAAAGAATTTTACGAACCCACTAGGATGCATTGGTGATGCAATTCTCGGTGACATAAATCCTGCTACTGGTGACATGGATGATATGTTGGATTTATTTCCGCCAGAAAGTTGTAAATGCCTCGTCTTGCAAACGAAAATTCCACCGTTGTCAACAAACATTCTCGAATGTAGGAAAGCAAAACTTCTGTATAAATGTTTAATTTCGCCACCTCTTCCAGCATGTAGACCATCCACAACTTTGACAATATCTTTCTTTTGTATAGGGTTCTGTTGAGAATCTAACGCTACCGCGTTTCTGTTCTCGCGTCTTTTAGTCAATCCTTGAGGTCTGGCTTCGATCACCTTCCCGTGCATAGAAAGCACGTGGAAGTTCTCACGCTCAAGTCGAACGATAACTCCTACTGTTTGTGCATCAAATTGTACTAAATCACCCCACTGGAACTGACCTAAACTGTCTACACCGGTTGCCATATCTGAGCAAAGCTGCAAGTCCCTTGGAAGGACTTCGAGTTCGTGCATCGATAGATCGGAAAATAACACTACTCTGTTCTGTTCTACACGAACTATCAAACCAGTGTCACCCTCGTATCTTCCAGCCACAACCTGTAAATGTTCAGTAAAATTCATTTAGAATTAAAACTAATTTTTTCGTATTTATTTATTCATTTTATCTTTACCTTAACGTGATCGCCCATAGTAAAATATTTCCGTAACTCTGATGCTTGAAATTCCAGTGCTTCCTTTAGCTCCTCGTGTTTCGGCATAACCATAATCATATTTCCATCGATCGAGACGATCTTTCCTTGCAAATTGATCAATTCACCCTCGCACACTTCTACATTATCTCCTGTACTGAAAGAATGGGTCACCGCCGAGTCCTCTTTATTACCAGAAAGTCCAGTTCCTAATCCACCGGTTAAATCTAATTCGACCCCCTCAGGAGCTTCCTCGAACCTTTCCAGTTCGGACAAAGTTGGTTTTACACCTTCCGCAATAATCGCACTTGTTGTAAAATTCTTGTACAAAAATCTGAAACATGAAAAATATTTCAGTTGTCATTAAATGCTTTAATTGTTAACGAGATATTTTATGGTAACACACCCTTTTCTACTATATCTATTTCCCTCGAAAATCAAAAAGTCTCCGTCGCTGGTAACTTCTCCTCCGATAGCTCGAATTGCCTCAGGGTCAAACGGCTTAGCTGGTGGTCTTCTTTTCTTTTTGCGTTTTAAGGCTTCTGATTCGCTTTGAGCTGTCCTTAAAGCTCCACGTGGTCTAGTATAATCAATTCTGGGCAACAGTTTCAAGTGCACCTGATTCTGTGCCAAGTCAACGTAATCCACCTGAGCTATGTCGTCTTTATAAATTCCTCTCTTCAGTCTAACCCATTGTTTCGCTTTCAAGCCTGTTTGTTCTTTGACTACGCGTAGTATATCCGTCATTTCCTTGATCGGTACCATCTGCTGTTTCCAAATACCCATTCTCAAATTTCCTACGTTCTCGATAGCAGCTTTTACGTGTGGCTGCTTGTATGCTTCTATGTAAATGTAACCCTTCACTCCTTCCGGCGCAACAACAGATTTTATCTGAAGAGGTTCGTCTAATAATAAAAATTGCACAATTAGAAAGTTGACTACTTTCAAATAAAAATGTAACAATGATTTTTTTGCATACTCGAAAATTGGTATGTTATAAATTTTCGCATTAACAGAAGTACTGTCGCTTTCTCTTCTCCAATACGACATTTCACCATCCACAGATTTGGATCTTTCACACCTGGTAGCAAAGTTTGTTGAGTGATTTCGTCACTCATTTCTTCACCACCATCTCCGAAATGACGAGTAGCGATAGACTCGTCCGCATATTTCTTTCTCAGATATTCTTCTATTTCATCTTCCTTCTGGGAACTGAGAAAAATTTCAAACATTAGTTTCAAAATAGATAATCTCAAGATATTTGCAGATGTTTAAGGTACTTACTCCCAAAGATTGGTGCCTCTACGTCTACCTTCAATTTCCCTAGCAGTAGGACCTAATTCATCCACTTCATTTCCAACAATACCAATTTCTTGAGCACCTTCTTCCCATTCATCATCATCCTCAACTTCATCGTCTACTTCTGCTTCATCTATGATGAAATCACGGTATTTGTCCTTTTTCTTTTTCTTTCGAGGCCTATCATCATCCTCCTCCTCTTCTTCCTCATCATATTCGCTACTTCCAGCCAAGTCTTCTCCTATATCCAAATAAATCTTACTAGTAGTAAAAAAATTCACATTACATTATTTAGTTATTCGTTGCTGCTATACCTTCTGGCTCTTCTTCAGGCTCCACCAATTCTTCATCTCCAGATCTAACTTCCTCTGCTTCATCTCCTCTGCCATCCTCTGAGCTACAAATTCAGTAAATTCTAATAATCTCTAAAAAAAATTATCATTCTTAATAAATAATGTTATCCTATAGATAATATTTTACAATGTTCACTCAATATACAAGTAAGCCTGAATAATCCAATACATATGCTATCAATTAATCAATGTATGTACAAATGAACAGATAAAATATGTCAGTGATACCATGTTAATATTCTATTCCTTCGAACAACACAATTCATATTCATACAAGAATCAATATCAATATTTCGCTATTAATAGAAACGACAATAATAAATGAATATCTAGTCTAAAGTGAACCACATCAGACCTCATTGCTTTCCTGTAAATTTCTATACAAGCATGCCAATGAGTTTCACTAGCAGATGTACATCATCGTTTGTGAAACGGAGCTTGATAAATTGTAAAATATGTACAAAATAAACGTTATTTACCCAGACGCTGAACGAGATCGTGAACGAGATCTGGACGGACTTCTAGACCGCGACCTAGACGGGCTTCTACTGCGAGAAGCGCTATGCGATCTCTCTCCGACGCTGCCACCATCGCTGCCTGCACCAGATTTTACTGAGCGATTCTCATCCTGATCGCTCTCACTACCGCCACCGCCATGCTCACTCTCGTTGTCGGATAAATTACTTGCCTCCGAGTCCGACATATCCCTCCAAGTAATTGGAAAACAGTGAAACGTTTCACAAACAGGTAGACGTGTTTATTACGCTAGCGAGTAAGGTTATTCCATGAATACGCCCTCTGTGACCCGACAATACAACGAAAAGCTGCAGTTGACGACGTTATGGTAGTATAGTAAAGCAGATTGTTATCGATTGTAGTTTTAATAATTAATTTGTGGTAAATAAATAAAATTTACATTAAAGTAATTGTCTAATGGTAAACCCCTGCTCTTTAGTTAAGAAGTAGAAAATAACTGTTCATTAATAAAGTAATTTAAGCTTTTCCCCCTTTACAATGTATTTTATGTAATAGGAAATGGACGTGGTGTGTAAGGGAGAAATATGTAGACTGTAAAATGCTGTAAAATAATACTGGTATATTGTAATCTTTTGTAAAATACATTTTGTACATTTATCTTACAAGAAACAATTTATTTTGTGGTAAATAATTGCATTTCTTCATTTTTCTTGATGTTCAAGTCCTTTTTTTGATTCCAATGGTGTCCTGGAAGGTACAGTTGTAATGCATACGAAAAGAACATTAATATTTCTGATTTTCAATAAAAGTTGCAAACATTTTCTGACAAACCCACTGAATACAATGGTTAATTCAATGCAAAATTAATATATTAATCTGTTTTATTAAATTAAAGCATACAATAATTTCATTTAAGGCTTCCAATGATTATAAACAACCATGTAAATTCATTTTTGACAAGGGATACTAATTATTCTATAATTGAAGTACTTGAAAAAAAACCACTAACTGTATTCTATTATTTACATTGTTAGTAATCTTAAAGCAATTAAGAATTGATTCTAAGTATTAAATAAATTGTAATAGGGATGACAAGGATAGAAATAGCGATGAGAGACAAGGAAAGGAATACGGTTAGACAAGGATAGCACAAGAGAAATGAGTTAGACAAGGAAAGAAATAGGTGTAGATAAGGATAGCAAAAGTACCGTGTGTTAGACAAGGAAAGCAATAGGGATAGACAAGGACAGAAAAATTGGCGGGCGAGAGTAACGCCATCTCGCGTCTGGTGACGTGAACTACGATTTTTTAATAGGAAAACATGATATAAACAGAGGTATTAGACAAGGAAAGCACTAGTGTGCGAGAAGGATAGAGAGAGAACGCTTCCTATTGGCTGAGGGCACCCAAGCTCGACCAACCACGGGCTAAACCAAGTCGGTCCGTGAAAAATCATTAATAACTCATTAATTACGATGATTCTGTGAACTTTTAAAATTGAAGAATGAAGAGTGGACCTTCTGCAACTTTCACATATAGTTTTTAATGCTCTAAACCCTTTCAATAATTAGTTATTAACAATTGTAGTACGTGATGTCGGGAACGATACCGCATACCGTCAAGTATCTTTACGGTTTTTCAATAATTTCATAGCTTTCTGCTAAATTCGCATGTAAATAACTATACGCATCCGAAAGGCAACACCTTTAGCTACATTCTTTTGTAAGTTTCATTAACATATTCGGTTTAGTTTAGAGAGTAACGCCATCTCGCGTCTGGTGACGTGAACTACGATTTTTTAATAGGAAAACATGATATAAACAGAGGTATTAGACAAGGAAAGCACCAGTGTGCGACAAGGATAGAGAGAGAGAACGCTTCCTATTGGCTGAGGGCACCCAAGCTCGACCAACCACGGGCTAAACCTAGTCGGTCCGTGAAAAATCATTAATAACTCATTAATTACGATGATTCTGTGAACTTTTAAAATTGAAGAATGAAGAGTGGACCTTCTGCAACTTTCACATATAGTTTTTAGTGCGCTAGACCCCTTCAGTAATTAGTTATTAATAATTTTAGTACGTGATGTCCGGAACGATACCGCACATAGTCAAGTATCTTTGCGGTTTTTCACTAATTCAATAGCTTTTTACTAAATTCCCATGCAACTAACTGTATGTTTCCGAAAGATAACTCCTTTAGCTACATTCCCATATAATTTTCGTTAACATATTCGTTCTAGTTTAAGAGCTATTAAACATTATAGGAGAGCGTCTCTTATTCACCGTACTCGAGCATAGACAACTCTTATAAACAATAGAGAATATCTCTGAATCTACCTACAATTTGTGAACTTTTAGAATTGAAGAATGAAGTGTGGATCTTCAGCAACTTTCTCATATAAATTTTAATGCATTAGACCCTTTTAATAATTAGTTATTAGCAATTATAGTATGTGATGTCAGGAACGATACCGCATACCGTCAGGCAGCTTTACGGTTTTTCACTAATTCAATAGCTTTTTACTAAATTCCCATGCAACTAACTGTATGTGTCCGAAAGATAACTCCTTTAGCTACATTCCCATATAATTTTCGTTAACATATTCGTTCTAGTTTAAGAGCTATTAAACATTATAGGAGAGCGTCTCTTATTCACCGTACTCGAGCATAGACAACTCTTATAAACAATAGAGAATATCTCTGAATCTACCTACAATTTGTGAACTTTTAGAATTGAAGAATGAAGTGTGGACCTTCAGCAACTTTCTCATATAAATTTTAATACACATGACCCTTTTAATAATTAGTTATTAGCAATTATAATATGTAATGTCGGGAACGATACCGCATACATTTACGGTTTTTCAATAATTTCATACCTTTCTACTAAATTCTCATGCAATTAACTATATGCGTCTGAAAGGTAAGTCCTTTGGATATATTCTCATATAAGTATTATTAATATATCCCTTGTGGTTTGATAGTTATTTAATATTCTTTGGCAGAGTATTACACCCGTCGCATTCAAGAGTAACACATTTTCGTTATTTCAATAGAAATGCGTGATAAATTATGCACTTTCAAGCATGTAGAATGTAGAATGGACTTTTATCTATATTCTGCAATTACTTTAGTTGCTCTAAGCCGTGTGGTTTATTAGATATTAGCAATCGTTTAAAAGAGTTGACTATCCTCGCATACGATGTATAGGGAACTCTCTCATATAATATTTAATAATTCGTAAACTAGATCGGACATGTTAATAAAAGTTATTGAAGAATATAGCTAAAGGAGTTACCTTTCAGACGCATACAGTTACTTGCATGGGAATTTAGTAGAAGGCTATGGAATTATTGAAAAACCGTAAAGGTATGCGGTATCGTTCCCGACATCACGTACTATAATTGGTAATAACTAATTTTTAAAAGGGTCTGGTGTATTAAAATTTATATGTGAAAGTTGCTGAAGGTCCACACTTCATTCTTCAATTCTAAAAGTTCACAAATTGTAAGTAGATTCAGAGATATTCCCTATTGTTTATAAGAGTTGTCTATGCTCGAGTACGGTGAATAAGAGACGCTCTCCTATAATGTTTAATAGCTCTTAAACTAGAACGAATATGTTAACGAAAATTATATGGGAATGTAGCTAAAGGAGTTATCTTTCGGACGCATACAGTTAGTTGCATGGGAATTTAGTAAAAAGCTATTGAATTAGTGAAAAACCGCAAAGATACTTGACTATGTGCGGTATCGTTCCTGACATCATGTACTAAAATTATTAATAACTAATTACTGAAGGGGTCTAGCGCACTAAAAACTATATGTGAAAGTTGCGGAAGGTCCACTCTTCATTCTTCAATTTTAAAAGTTCACAGAATCATCGTAATTAATGAGTTATTAATGATTTTTCACGGACCGACTAGGTTTAGCCCGTGGTTGGTCGAGCTTGGGTGCCCTCAGCCAATAGGAAGCGTTCTCTCTCTATCCTTCTCGCACACTAGTGCTTTCCTTGTCTAATACCTCTGTTTATATCATGTTTTCCTATTAAAAAATCGTAGTTCACGTCACCAGACGCGAGATGGCGTTACTCTCGCCCGCCAATTTTTCTGTCCTTGTCTATCCCTATTGCTTTCCTTGTCTAACACACGGTACTTTCGCTATCCTTATCTGCACCTATTTCTTTCCTTGTCTAACACACGGTACTTTCGCTATCCTTACTACACCTATTTCTTTCCTTGTCTAACTCATTTCTTTAGTGCTATCCTTTTCTACCCGTATTCCTTTCCTTGTCTTACTCATTTCTGTATTGCTGAATACCTGGACGAGTTATCCTTCGTACAAACACGACTAAATATGTATATTGGATTGCGTAGGTAGAAGTGTTCACGATCTTTTGACAACAGTAGGACATGCGTATGTCATGAAACATCTACTTTACGTTACTTTTGTATTTATAATTTTAGAATTATGTTTAATTCTATTTCTAACCACTATTAATGTTGTAATCTTATTCTATGCTAAATCGGTAATGTTAAAAGCGACATAAAAATGGTGAGGGTCTTCTCGGCCCCCGTACCACGGATATAAAGTCCCAGAAGGTGTTAGATCTATCCTGCACGTCGTCTGTGATTATACTTTGTTTCTTTTAATTTTACTTGGATAATGTATCGTACTTAATTATATCACAGACAAGGTATATACATTCTTTACCTTGACTAGTATCTAGTGTACCTCCTGCTCATCACCTAGGCAATAAGTAAACAGAAATTAGTATCGATTTAGTCGACCATTGACAACCTTAAATTGCAGACGATTTTTTTTTCCACAAATCAAAGAAGCTTATTCTGCGTTATGTGTGATTTAGCGAAAGATTTGCTAACCCAGTATTACGGACTAGGTGCAGAATCCAGTGGTAAGAGATTTCTGTCGATCCATCAAAGTGTCGGACACGCGAAGAATGAAGAAGAGAAACAGGTTACCGAGCAACCTTTCTTACCAACCAGTGAAGAAAATGTGTCCGACGAAGATTCTCAGGTAGTTGAAAGTTATTTATGGTTTCTATTCATTTACCTGTCTCTTTACCTTTTATTTCTGTTCTGCCTGATAATTGTGCATTGAAAGGAATCAGGTTTATTGTGTGACGCATAACATAATATTTTGATTGTTTTATTACTCGAAACGTAATTTAACCTCGCGTAATGCTACTACGTCATTACTTATAGAAAGACATCGACGATAGTCGAAAACTTAGCGTGGCAAGCGAATCGTACAGGCGATCATCAGGGGTTTTAGATAATATAGAGGATGCGTACGATATAGATGAAACTTTCGACGTGTTTAATATTGATCTCGGACCGAATATTCTGTGTGGTCCTTTTAAAAATGTGACATCTTCTACACCACGTGACCAACCGTCAAATGATGTTTTAATAGATTGCATTAGAACTGTCGAAAATCCAGGTAATTAATAAAAATCTTTCTCCTGTTGCAAGATTAAATTTTCAAACCGTTTTAAAATTAAAAAAATTCTTATCTAATGCTATAATGTATTTCTAATGTATTTGTATCAATTTTTCGATCGTAGAAATAGAAATAAACGACGTAAGGGATACGAACGAAAATGATCTAAGTCTAACACACATCGAGGATATTTTCCCGGATAATGTTTCGGATGTTTCTTCTACGACGTTAAAAAAATCTCCAGAATCTTCGAAAAGTAGTGTACATTTATCGCCAGTGATACCAAAAAAAGAACCAGTGTGCAACGACACGTTTGTTGATTTTTCCAATACCAACTTAAAACGATTTCCTAATGATATATTGAACTACTTTCCAAGATTAAGGGTACATTATTTGTTCAAGTAATTGCAATGGAATGTTTGCAGTATTTTGTACAGATTTTTTAAACTTAATTTTACACCTTGAATATATATATATTTTTCTTAATTTCTAGATGTTATACTTATCGAACAACAATTTGAACGAACTTCCCGACGAAATTTTCAGTTCTTTAAAATACCTAGAATGGCTGGATGTTAGAAATAATAAACTTTCTTCGCTACCAGTCAGTATCAAATGGCATCGATGCTTAGAAACGATTTTACTTCAAGGGAACAATGTGGAATACTTACCATTGGAATTGTGTAAGCTGTAATTAAAATTTTTTGTTTCGGTTACAGAACTTTTACATTTTTAAAAATTTAAGGTTATTAGTGCAAGGATTAAATGAATCATTTTTTCAAAGATTGAAATATATACAGTAATCGTTTATTATTTGTACGTACATGTAATGTATACAGTTACAGAATGAATCATAATTATCGTAATTTTAATGTTATGAATTACGTGTACGATGTATTTATGTTTATTAAGCCAATATTCTTCGTAAAAATGAAGCTGGTGTCCGGCCAAGAACGCTTAATCTCGTTACGTTCCAGGCACTTTGCCAAATCTGAAAACCCTTCAGGTGACACAGAATCCACTTGTCACACCTCCAAATGATATCGTGGCTTCCGGTTGCTCGGCAATTTTGGAATTCCTGCGATTCGAGTGGAATAATGTTCACCCTGAAGAACGAGTACAACTCAAGGAAAGTAAGTTACTATATATCACCATTCGATTCCTGTAAATAAATTTACATGTATTTAGAAGTCAAAAAAATTATTTGATTGATTGTAAAAGTTTTTTTTTTAATATACATCTATTTGAATGAATTATGAAATATTAATTTCAGATAAAATCGAACCGAAATTGTCGACGATTCTTTGTTACCAATCCCCGCGAAAGAATAAGAAGAAAATTACACAACTGAAAGACGCTATTTGTAGTAAAAATGCATCGATAAGGGAGAGACACAAATCTTATAAACCCAGTAACAGGTACTACGACGAAAAAGCGACATTTTTGAGCAGCATCAGTTATTCTTTAGGAAAAATGTCTAAAGTTCTCCGTGATTCCTGTTTGCAAAAAATAACTGTTCCTAAAGTTAATAAAAAATTAGAATATATAGGGAATAGGACAAAATATACTTTTTCCGACATTTCAAACAGTTCTAATAGTACCGAAAGTAATTACATTGACAATGAAATCGATGAAATGAGCAATAAAATTTTGCGTTTGATGGGACCATCTCCAAGGTCCCTTTATGTTAGAAAAAATGTAAAAATTTTAAAAAT